ATGCCATTTTTTGTGCATTTCTCAGAACTGTCCAAATATGAGCCATAAACGTGGCTGCCTTTCAATCGTTTCAACACCAAAAATGTGGTGGCTGTAGGCTTTATTGTAGCCTTAGGCGAATGGGTGGCGCCTGTAGTGGAGTATGGTGGCTCCTGATGTGTTATTAGAACACGTAAGCTGTTAGAGCTTTATTGAACAGACGACATGCACCCATTCGTGCAGTGGTAGAATGCTGAGGATTGAAGGCGTGGTAAAGTAGTATCACAAACATCTGGGCAATAATACACTCATATCGCAGCAGGTCATGCTTATGGCATGACCTTTACGGTGGTTAAGAGAGTTAATGATAAGTCGCAAGGAAGGTGCCGACAAAGTCGGCACACATAAATGTGGTGGCTCCTAGACTTTCAGTGCCTTAGGCGGAAATAGCGCCTTTGGTGGAGCAGTGTAGCTGCTGGTAAACAAGGTAGTTCAGCAGCTTTATTGAGTCAATCAACATGCCCGCATGGGTGCAATGGTAGAATGCTGGTGATTGAAGGCGTGGTAAAGTAGCATCACAAACATCTGGGCAATAATACACTCGTATCGCAGCAGGTCATGCTTATGGCATGACCTTAATGGTGCTTAGAAGAGCTAATGATAAGTTGCAAGGAGGTGCCAACAAAGTCGGCACACTCCCGCCAGCGAGGGGAACAAATACGAAACAGCGAAACGAGCAGCATAAATGTAAACACTGTAACTAATACTAAGCGAATATTTATCAGGATACCTTAATGGACGTATCTGGGGAGCCTGGTATAGGGACCTGCAGGATCGCGAGAGTCGGACGTGCGTACGGCCATTGCGCCGCGCACGTCAGAACTGCGTGCGACGGCCCAGGTAAGTGCCAGACTTATCCTATTGAACAGGTTCATTCGGTTCACCACCTTTGCTGTTGGACAGTGTAGTGATTTGACCTATGAACGGAACGAACGGCTGAAGTGGATAAGTCTGGCACTTGCCTTAGTGACATCGGACGTGCGCGGCGCAATGGCCGTACGCACGTCCGACTCTCGCGATCCTGCAGGCCCCTATAATTGAGAGCGAGATGCTGGTTAATGCAGTCGTGCCAGCTGGCATAAGATCGCAGAGAAGCAAGTGGCAGTAAGGCAGAGTATACTGGATAATTGTGATGTCTTAGTATATCCAAATTCATCAACGGCAAAAATGGAAAGTGAAGGGAATAACACTGATAATTCTTCTTACTCTCCTTGCCTCGTCGCGGGTTTCCGATCAGGTACCTGTCGATCTCATCATTGTTTCGTCGTTTACCTCTTCCAGGCATAGTGACCTGCGAAGTCGGTATATCATCTTTTGCTGTATATTGCCATCCATGGTATCTCCGCAAGCCAAAATTGTGCGGTCTTCAGAATGCTGATTGAAGCGCTCTTCGCTTTCCTCATTTTCTTCCATTGTCGCGAAATCTACGCTCATCATCGCGAGAGTATCCATCTCTCTTTCCGCATCGTGTAAAAAGGTTTTGAACAGGCAGGATTGCCGTTCCTTGACTACTTGGCTTATCTCAAAATTGCCTTTGTATGTTTCTGCGTATAGGATTTGATGTTCTACAATACAAACAAAAACATATGCATCGGAAAGCAACTGATAGAAGCCAGCCTCCTTTTCAAGCTCTTGTAGCTGAAGTATGATTGTTTTTCTCTCGCTTTTGAAGTGCGTGAGATAAAATTCCTCAAATTTGTCGACTATTGACTGCAAAATCGTCGATCTCGCTTTGACTTGCGATAGAGATAAAAGGAGAATCTCTAAATTTTCGAAACATTTCTTTTTCAAGCCTTCATTGTGCTGCAGAGTGAATTTAACATCGGTAATAGGCTCGAATATTTTGAGCAGTTTTGCTAGTGCTACCGAGTGAAATGAAATTGGCTCTTTGAAGAATTTTAGAGACATTTTTGCTGCAAAAATTTGCGATTATGGCAAAAATATGGCTGCTTTTGAGCCGTTCGCTACTTTTTTAGCGAAAATTGGGAAGATTTTGTCCCGGAATGCGGTAGAGAGTGGCTGTCGCGAGTGCGAAGCAGAGGACTTTGGGCGCTGGGTCCCAAGGTTAAGATAGCTAACCTTTGTGCAGCTGAGGCGAGTGATGGGCCTTGCGTATTTGGCCGATGCACCATAAATGTGGTGGCTCCTAGGCTTTCAGTGCCTTAGGCGGAAATAGCGCCTTTGGTGGAGCAGTGTAGCTGCTGGTAAACAAGGTAGTTCAGCAGCTTTATTGAGTCAATCAACATGCCCGCATGGGTGCAATGGTAGAATGCTGGTGATTGAAGGCGTGGTAAAGTAGCATCACAAACATCTGGGCAATAATACACTCGTATCGCAGCAGGTCATGCTTATGGCATGACCTTAACGGTGCTTAGAAGAGCTAATGATAAGTTGCAAGGAGGTGCCGACAAAGTCGGCACATTAAGCAAATTTAAGCCACTTATTCGAAGTTGACACGTTGAAATGGATCGGAAAACAGCCACGTCGATGGTTCATATGGAACAGTTTTGGGGGATGCACCGTACAAGTCGTGCTCTCTCGAAGTTCAGCCGCGCCGCGCGTGGTCCGCAGCGTTCGAGCAGTCCGTGCGGTCGACGGTGCCCAGTTTTGGGAACCAAATTTTCTTACTTTCCTATTTGGAACCTAGCATTGATAACTAACTGTTGAATATCCGAGCGGGCCGAGCTAGCAATAAAATGATAGTTATATTGGAGATGTTTGTGTTCCTGTCGGTTAAATATGCGCAAAGACCGCAGTCAAATACATCGTCACGATCTTATAGAGAGCCTATAATCTAGCGCGCATACACTTAACGCATCAGGCATTTAGAGGGGATGCAAAAAAAGCGATTTTATCGGAGAGCTTGGTTGCGCGGCTGCGTACGCGACGCACACCGCTGTTTCCGAAAGTTGTGTATGTCCCACGCTTTTGTTTTCGTTACTACCTCCTTGAACAATGATTGAAACTTCATATTGTTTGTATTTTCGCCTTTCCTGCGCTTTACATCATGCAGAGGGGAACTTCTCAGAATCGTGGCCTTTTTCAGAATGGCTCGTCACAGGACTTCCCCAGCATCATCTGGCCGTCAGCATCAGACATCCGGGATCACTGAACGAGTGCGTTTCTTTCGATATTTTCTAATCTGGACCTTTTTGTAAATAGGTAGTCCCTTTAGATAGAAAATTCAAAAGAGAGTCGAAAGAGTTGCACAGCATAGATCATGTGACATTATAAAAGACAGCTGGCGCCAGCCGCAAGCTGCCAACCAAATTTGTAAACTTGCACTATTTTTATTGAAATGTTGTCAGGGTGAGCTCTAATTACATAAAAAAACCTTTTGGATCGCACATGTGTTCTGTAGTGTAGGTTGAATAAAATCACTGAACAGTAATCGTACCGTGTAAGAGGAGAGTACTGGTTTCAAACTACAGCTTCTCAGAAAATTTTTGGGAGTTGTAGTGTCAAATCTTGGGATGTAAACGCGGTACTGTTCCGCATTAGTTGACCCAAGGCATAAAAATCGCTGATTCCGCTAGAACCTAGTGGGCTTCGCCTGATTACAGTCCATTTATTTCGCACTTCAACGGGTGGGATTACGGCAGGATTAGGATAGGAATCACATTCAGGAAGTCCGTGCGTCTAGTGGGGTTATCTGGCACGCTGAACATTCTCGGGTTATGGTGGGTGGGTGTACTGTACTTGGATGAAAGTTCGAATTTGCATCGATTTTTGCTCGGATGAGTACGGATTGCTGATTATGAATCATATTCTTTTGCATTTCGAACTTTTACGCGGAACTACGATAGGTTTACGGTGGGCGGCCAAGGTACACTTTGGCCGCCTACCGTACAACTATCGTAATTTCGCGCACTATAATAGGTCTGCCCCGCATTTTGCGCACGGGGGGGGGGGGGGATCTGAAGTGCTGCTCGCGTAAGTCGCGCTCATTTTGCACGATAAAGCCTTTTGTTTGGGCTGAAAAGGGAAAAGTCGCTCATTTATACATTGTAAGTCACCGTAATTCCACGAAAGGCCGTTGTTACAGCGAACGAGCATGGTATTCGTAATTTTCATGCTTAAAGGCAGCGTACACCCAAAACAAATGCAACAGATGTTGCAACAGCAACTGCAACTGCAATTGCAGCTTACGCTGTTATGGATTCGTCCGGAGGAGGCGGAGCGAAAGAAAAGGGGCGGCATGAAAGAAAATTGAGGGGGGTTTTCTCCGCTCCAGCAACATTGGGAGACGGGACCAACGCAGTTGGTCTTCTTCTGGGCCCAGTATATACACGGTGTAGAAAGATCTTGGAAATTCGGTAACTCAAATTTTGGGTGTACGCTGCCTTTAAGCGACCCTCAGGCAAGATTTAGAGCTAATTTTGAATCGTTAACTCATCTGTTCATACCTACCGTAATCTGAAAAAATGGCGCTACCGCATGATTATTCTTATATCTCTCTGGGCAAAGTTTGAGATAGCGCTGAACTAACGGGTTTTGGACATTTGCATAATCCCAATGGGTAAGATGTTCTGCAAATTCTCAACAAACGCTCAAGTGCTTTTCAGGTTAACCCAAAAATAACAGCTTTTTTCCCAATTCGCAAGCACGGGCATGAGCGAGCCATAGACGTTATTGGCAAACGGTTGCGTAGTGGCGTGGTCTTATGTGATGCCAGCGTTTCTCCAGCGATGACGGTTGAGAAAACTTTCAAGTGCTCCCGTCGTTCGAGTGCATACGGTAGACATAATGCTTTCTTCATAATGGTGAAAGTAATAAGGAGTTCAGGAGCCGCACATGCATCTAATTTCAAGGCTGTTGCTGCTGACGTCAAATGTACGTCCATTGGTTTTGGCTTTTTTGGAAAAATGCCTGCCAATCTGTACTGGTCCGTATTCGATGGTATTGATGGTTAGTGATTTATGGGTTGAACACTGGAATCATAATAAGGTTGTTCATTTTAGTAAAGTGCCTGTGTTCTCTTGCCATGACTTCGTCGGCACTGAATAGTGCACTTCTGAAGTATATCGACTCGAGACATTTTCTTCATCGCATTCAGCGCGAAAGCAAGGCATTCTTCATGGTGGAAGGAGACTGCAAAGAGAGATTCTTTACGACCGAGGATCCTTTCTACTGCTACGGTACGTGACCAAGATCCTACTGAACAGTCACATTCGCTCTTCTTCAGTATACTAATTTTTTGAGGGATTCAAATCAAATTCCAATTCAGTTGACTCACTTTTACCATCGCACATTTCGTTTAAGTAATGGTCCTACTTTGAGCAAAATTGTAGAGTAGGAAAGTCCTTTGTGTATTTGAGAAGTAGGATTAGATAACGAGTACATGTAATACATTCGTACACTACAATAACATTTTTCGAATTTTTTTCTACCTACTTCTATACTCGCAATTTCAGCACGCTATCTTTCAGGAACGCTCTTGAAGTCGGCTTCTGTTTGTTTTCCAACCAAGAAGCGTATCACTATACTAATGACATTTTTCCGAAAAGCCCTTGATTATGGTATCGAATGCCGTGGACTGGGAAGAATACTGCATACTGTATGTTACTTTGCGCTCACCTTTTTTGCTTAGAATGTAATCATATTTCTTCTATAGTAAGGGAACGGCCATAGGTTGTCGGTGTTGTCGATGTTGTCGGTGTTGTCGATGTTGTCGGTGTTGTCGGTGTTGTCGGTGTTGTCGGGTTTGCCGAGGTTGCCGGTCGTTGTAGGACCCATGATGGCCTCCACGTTTCGCGCGCTCTCTAAACTGTCTCTGACCCCGACAACTCCGACAACACCGACAACATCGACAACACCGACAACACCGACAACATCGACAACCTATGGCCGTTCCCTAAGGGGCAACCATAATCGTGACAACGCGGCAGCCGCGCGCATCACGTACGCATTTCCAGCAAACGCATTTTCTGGCTTCTACCTCCACCAAAGGGTATCTTGCATGCATTATGGCTTTTGCATGAAGTGATGCTTTGAGTATTTTACGCTTTTGTGACCTTTGGGTGACCGCAAATACCGCAATCAACTTTTTCTTCACGATCTTATGAAGACTCTGCATATAGAGTACAGTGCGGAATATCTCGTAGGCTTGTTTTGCTAATATTCGCGTTATTTTAGATGTGTTCGAATTGGGCTTTCTCTGAATGTAAGAAAGTCATCGATGCAGTGCTTCTTTCTACAAAAGGTCGACTCGAACACATCCTAAAGAAAATTGAAAACAGTCGTTCTATAGAAACGTTGTCAGAAGTTATCACGGAGGTGAGATTCAGGCTCTATTATCTTTTCATGCAAACTAGACTGGAAATTCTGTACAGTTTCGTGGGACGTTTCTTCCGCTACTTTTGTCAGGGCGAGACGCCAAATACGAAGGTGGGGATGCTGAGTATGCCTTTTGGCTGTCAGCAGTGATGCGTTGCTCTCCAAAAGCTGAGGCTCAAAGCAAGCTGCTAATGATGCTTTTTGGGCCTGTGACTAGTCATTCCGGTAAAAGTGTACTTCAGCGTGTGCTGCATAGATCCAATCGTTCATATTCAGGTACTATCAATTGGCGGCTGTTCTGTGATGAAACAATTATGACATACAACGAAGCGGAAAAAACAATCAAACCTTTGTCGGATGCTTTGACAGTTTTGATGAGAACTAAACAGATAGCTGGTTTCCCCAATCCCTGGAATCAGCACGATATTTTCAACATAGTGGAAGAACTTAGCAGTACGTATTACCAAACACTTGATTTTAACATCATTGTATGTTTTAGCAACTCCTGAACCATGGGCATTCGAAAATTTCGCTTTCTTGCTGCTTTTCTGTCCTTCTCTTATACCGATTTCGCTCACGGCTAGGCTGGAGAACAATTATGCGGGTGAAGCATGTATGATGTTTCACACTTTCGCTAGTGTAGGTTATATTTCTACTATATTTTGTCGCTCTTCAAAATGATTCACGCTCTTTCATCTACAATATGGCTGCTATCAATGCAGGAATTCGGTTGTTCTTGACTTCCAGCGTTAAATTGGACGGAGTTTTAGCAGACTGTTTTGGCATACTCGCTATTATTGTAAGAAATTACAGAGCATCGAATTATCGAATTCGCAAATGACCTGTCCAATCTTTAGCTGGGAAACGCATGCAAATATTTGTGGGTGTGGTGTGACGTTTGATGTTCTCATGTAAGGGAACGGCCATAGGTTGTCGGTGTTGTCGGTGTTGTCGATGTTGTCGGTGTTGTCGCTGTTGTCGGTGTTGTCGCTGTTGTCGGTGTTGTCGGAGTTGTCGGGGCAGAGACAGTTTAGAGAGCGCACGAAACGTGGAGGCTATCATGAGGTCCTACATTGACCGGCAACCCCGAACACCGACAACACTGACAACACCGACAACATCGACAACACCGACAACACCGACAACCTATGGCCGTTCCCTAAGGGACCCGTTACACTTCGCCGAGAAAAGCCCAAAAGCGCCCAGCCGGAAAAAAAAACGGAAAAAGCCCGAAAGAGCCTGAACGCAGAAACGAACTTTTGGTAGAATTCTGACATTATTTTGATGTCCAGACGACAGAAAATTAAGCAAAAAGACTCGGTTGCGAAATCAACACTCATGCCTTAGCGTCAAAACGGAAGAGGTGTTTCGGCTTTTTCGGGATTTTTGGACTCTTTCCGGCTTTTTCGGGCTTCTTTGGGCTTTTCTGGGCTTTTCTCGGCGAAGTATGACAGTCCTTTAGACTATCCCCAAATTTCCGTGACGTGCACTTTCTGGGAACGGTCAGGAGGCATGAAGCCGGGTGATGATATCTCTTTGAAGTGCTCTCGGGAAGTTATATAAAAAAACGCAAATGTGACTCTTCATGTCCAACAATTAAATATCGCCTTCTTGACTACACCATCGGCCTGCCACCTCCACTCGTGTGTCATTAATTGAACAATAACACTTATCACCTTCAATTGCTTGCAGTGTCTTTGGAACAATTACAGATGTCACAGCGTTGGAATTCTGATATTTGTGACGTTCTTCGCCAACCGATCACGCAGGCTATGAGAAGTCTTGGTGCTGAACGTGGAAGAATGTTTTTCAACCTGATTTGCGATTCTTATGCAGAACAGCTGAAGCTGTTTTCACAGCGAGGTCGAGGTATGACTTTTATATAGCTGAATCTTCTGAAGAAGTAGAATTGTTTCGTATTCTATTTGTTTCAGGAGGTGCTGATGATCTTTCAGCGTTTATATCATCGCATGCTGCTGTCAGACCGATCTTACAGTTGATCTCTGAATCGTTGTGGTAAGATAGTGTACAGAAAGATCTTGTATTTGTACCTTATGTATCTGTATTTTATTGCTGATGCCCATGTTTCATCTATAGAGAACCTTGCACCGCCAGTAGCTTCGCCTTTGCGGACCGTGCATTGTGTGGAGATGCATACAGTTTTTTCCTGAAATTTTTCCTAACAGTGCCTCCGCAACAGCCCCTTTGTTGATTCCAAGGTGTTGCTACCTATGCATCAACGTCTGAGTGCCCTGTTAAAGAAACGTCAATGGCGGCGCAAAGGCGCGGCGCATGTAAAATCGTGGTAAGAAGAATGCTAGGACATAGACAATACTAATTGTCGTACTGCCTGCATCTGTGCACAATTCGTAGTGTCTGATTAATTGCCTCCGTTCTAGTACCTTCGGTGTAGTACATTTTTAGCCGTTTGGCTCGAGAGGTTATTTTTAGTCCACCCTGTTAATATTTATTATGGCCGCTGTGTTTGCGGCACGTTAAACGTCGCATATAAAGTAGATCTCAGTCATATGAAAAATTGTACATAAATATTCCTTTTCTAGACAAATTGTTGTTGTTCCCATTTTTTTCTGGACATATTGTTGTTATCTCAGTTTTTATTTTTTAAAATTTTTTGTTGCTCCTATTGTAATTTTCGACTAGGTCTAAAATCTTTTATTTTTACTTCAAGCCTTTTCTTGTTTCTTTGTTTCCTGTAAATAAGTCTGTATATGTTCTGTGCATCTCATCATATTTCCGTTCGAAGGTATGGTACTGCTGTATCTTCAATTTTTACTTTTCTGTAAATAGCTGCTGTGAATATCTCATTGATTCTACTTCATTTTATGGGTTTCTGTCTTTCATCTTAATTTCGTTTATCCATGGTACCCCAAACGCCCACTGGTTTTTTTCATGTTTATCAGTACGTGGAAGCGCAGTAAATTTGAGTTTGTATAGTAATCTAGGGAAATAAAGGTTATATTCTACAGTAAACAGGTCCGTTAGTTGCATTATAGCGCAATTCCATATCTGAAATGATCAGAAAATTGATTGCTATGGCCAGAGGCGTAAGTCCCAAGAGGAAAATAATGACTTTTCTGACTTTTCAGCCGTAGCGGTGAGTTGCATGCAGGGCCCATACGCTCTCTGGCCAGAGACTCGTGTTTTCATGAATGAAGAACAAAGGCTTGATCGGCAAATGTGTGCTGCATGATAAGTCTTCGTCGGTGTGGACTGTAGGAAGTTTCGGCACAATTGCTTCGGTAGGCGTCGTTCGAAAATCTTTTCAAAGTACCGAGCAACTTGTGTCGAGCACTTAGACTTTCGAGGATTATTGAAAGCATATCCTGCATTCAAAAGCCTCCATGAAACAGGAAGAAAATGCGCTTTTCAGAAAGAGGAGAAGCTGCATCGGATGGTACAGCTAGTTGTTTGATGTTCTTTGAGGTTTGGGATGACCAAGTACGGAATTTGTATCTTTAAGAAAATTACTTCATAATTTGTGGAATGCCAGCTGGAGGTGCTTGAAAGAATGCATTGCATAGCACGTTCACCTATCCACTTTTATTAAAGCTCTTTGAAAATTCCTAAGGAAAATTCTAGAAAACTGTTGGAATTCATGGTAAAAACCATGAGTTCGAAACAAGGAATCATTTGGCATCCCTCGGAACGTGCTCATCCATGACTGCATGTCAAAGTGTCACAAACAGATATGGTTTCCCCAGAAATGCTCCCATAGGTATCATCAATGTGGCTACCTTTTGATCGTTTTAACACATTAACTCCAACAAGTTTGAGGTGCTTATTCCAAGTTGACACGTTGAATGACCGAAATGCAGCCACGTTGAGGTTCCTATGGGACAGGGCTCGACATAGATGGCTTATGGGGCAAGCTGGATATGGTTTCGGATATGGTTTTGTCATTTCTGCCTTATCGATTTCATTCCTGCAAAACCAAAAATTCCAATCAACAGGCTCGCCGGTTAAGCCGCGAATCTAAAAATTTGTCCCGAAATAAACCAAAGCCTTGTTTACAGCAAAGAGGAAATGAAGTGACACCAAAATTGGTGTGAAGATAAGCAATAGGGAGTTAGAACCATGAAGAATTATGAGAAAGTTATGTGAACTAAAGGCGTGGCAAACTTTTTTCGGAGTTGGGTGGCTTTCCAGCCACCTGAACAGCCATCTGAGTTGGCTGTGAAAAGAAAAATAAATTTTCCTTCCTTTACGTAATTTTTTCACAGGTTTAACACTACTTTATTCTGCATTAAAAACCCTACTACTGAGTTTTTGAATCTCAACGAATCCCCTCCTCCTCGGCTAGTTACAGCCCTTTAAATATTTTGTATGACGGCGGCAAGCCTGCTCCAAGCGCGTAATGGCGCGCCGAACTCAGCATGCCACCATTTGGAGAATACGAACTTTAGTTCTTTTTCGCCTGTTCAATGTTGTTTTTATGTTTTGTTCCATTATTTTTTGTTATTTGTGTTTGATCCATCCATGATCGTCATAGTTGTTGTCGTGTATTTGGCAAAGTCTATGGAGATTTGTTTTCCAAAAAAAGATGAAAAAGCCGCCTCGTGCCGAGCCCTGCTATGGGAACATATCTGGGACAGACGATAGATTTAGGCTTGCAGGTGCTACGGGAAAATGGCGCGCGGAACCTGTAAGTTCGTCTTTGCAGGTATATGGGCGCAGGAAGGGTTAGGGGAACGTCCTGAGGCTCTAATGAGGAGGGACCATCCGAACCGTAGCAACATCTGGCATAAGCATTTTTCCCATACGTTGCCTTTAAAGGCACCGTCTACCCTTAGTTGGTGGTCTTGAGCTTTTGGCAGCATATGGTATCAGGACACAATATCAAGCCAATGCTCAGGTCGCAGCGCAGAATGTCGCTTCAACGAGAATGCTCGAGGACCCCCAGACAACACCGCCCTTCCCATCCAAGCCCGCCTATCCGTCGCGCCCAGCCAATCACCGTTGCGGAAAGCCGGCGCGCGAGTTCTCCGGAATGGGGAATGTTGGGATTTTCGTGGATTCGCGACTTCATATTCGGAATAAGGGACATGAGAAGGCCCCGGAACGATCAAACATGGAAATCGAGAATCTGGGTGGACGGTGTCTTTAAGTATGTTAGTTTAGATGGTAACTATTTGACAAAACAAAATAAAGTGCAGAAATAATTTCTTTATGGTTTATAGGAGAAGACAGTAACACATTTATTAACAAAACAAGTGAAAAGCTTATACAATCTAGTCCAGACGAATCATAGTGAAAGACGCGGGTCGGTATACTGAGGCCTAGAAACACGTTTCAAGAGACACAACACAAAAACTTAATGCACAATCAATTGCCTAGAACGGTTTCTGGGGATTCAATTATAGGGAAAATAGACAAATCTAGCTTTTAGCCTCCCCTATTTCTGATCTGTTCTGCTTGCGACGAGATTTCGTTGATGAAGTTCTTGAAGGCATTTGGATCCCGTAGACATTTTTGAGCCTTGTCTTGTAGATGGTATTTGCAAACGTCTACCCAAAGTCTGCAAAGCAATTTGATAGAATCAAAATTTTTGAAAATTACTTACATGAGTGGTAAAAATCAGCTAGTTTGTTGGTACTTGTAAATAATCAAAATAATTCAAAAAATTTCAGAAATTTGAATCAGCGTCATAAAAATTCCAAGGCGTAGGTCTCCCCCTTTTTTCGTCACGCCCCCTTTTTCTGGAACGGGGTGTGGGCCCGTAAAGACCTTGGAAAACATCTCAAAAGAATCTTTCGGAATGCCTGGCCAACCCGTCATATGCGATAAATTTTTGCCCCCCTCACCCCCACCCCTGCCCCCTCGGACGGAAATCTTGGGACCGCCATTGCGTCATACATCGAAAGATCGGTCTACACCGGCAGTCCTAGGATTTCGTTTGCCAAGGGGATAGGAAATAACTTTTAAGCTTCCCGAAATTTTTTTGCAGTTTCGCTACGCCCGAAAAATAGAGCTTTTACAAGGCTGATTTGAAATCAAAAAAATGGCGAATCGTTTTAATCATCTGCAAGTATAAACATGTCACTTGTATTTTTGTAACTCATGTGATTTTTATGGTGATAGTCAAATTTCTGATAGTCTGATATTTCTGATATCTGACTATCAGATATTATAATTTCTGTTAGTTTTTCTGGTAGTCAAGTTAGTGGTTCCCCCCGGTGATGACAACATTTGCGTAGAGAATGACCATGGATCTTAGGATTGAAATTTGCGCTTTTTCTCGCGCATGTGTTGCCGGTACCGCAGGGACACTACATTGACCACCAGAGCCACCAGATTGTACGTGAAATCTCTTCAAGTGGGAGATAGCGAATTTCATAAAATCATTTCCGTTTGTGACCTTCTACAAATCACTCAAAATTAGCGAATTATGAGGACTTTGCATAGTAACCGCATAAACTCAAATCTCACCGAGCGCATCCGAGTTTCTTGTCCTTACCATCCGTGAATGAGAAGGTCAACCAGTACTCATTCTAGAATGCAAAGTGTTTTGTATGAGGGGACTTGAGCAAGAATGAGTCATACCGATTGCAGTGGTCCAAAGAAGGACTTAGGAAGATCCTCTGATGAAAAGACCTTGGAGAAGGTCATAGTCCAGTGTCCTTTTGGTGGTGGGCAAAGCTAAACGAAAGCTTCCAAGTATGCGATTATAAATTACTTTGTAATTAGGCAGACCTTGTTTTGTCTAAGGAAATCTTGCGCCTTCGAATCCTTGATGTATTTGTGGGCTCCCTTTACAGCTTCGTTACACTTCTCCAACATATCGCAGTAGCGGCTAGAATTACACTGTTATTTAGGAGAATTTTAGAAGAATTAGCTAGTTTGAATGACCAAGAAGTTAGTTCAAAATTCACAAGTAAAGTGTTTGAATGCTTTTGAAAAGGTTCTTTGAGAATAACCCTTCTTTGTTTTTTTTTGTTTTTTTTTCTAAAGGGGAGCACAACGCTCAAGTATTTTTTTTGAATATTGAACTTCTTTTAGAAGGACGTGCTTTAACGGTACAAGTTGCAAATTTACTTGCATTTTTTGAGTTACTAACCACCTACCATGAACCAACTCCATCACAACCGTCGATAATATTCCAACCTTGACAAGGGATAA